TGCCCAGTGAAGCCATATGGGTGGAACTCAGAAATAAGAAGGGGATGATACACATGGATGGATTGTAGTATAGATACCCCACTCAATAATCAGCAGGAATTTGAGCAAATGTGTCACGAGATCTCATGTATATTTAAGAATAATAGGGTTGTACTAGTAGGGGATTTTCACTTTCCAAACAGACTGACTTTCATAGTGTTAAGGGCTTGGATGGTGAGGAATTTGTTAAATGGACTCAAAAATTTTCTTTATCAATATGTAGATGTACCTAGAGAAGGAGCTCTTTCTAGCCCTTCTCGTTGAACTGCTGGATCAGCTAAAAACATCTTTCCAGCTCCTCGGCCTGGAGACTTCCACTAACTCACTCAGCAAGGGAGATTTCGAAAATCTGCCCTTCTATTGGAGTGAAATTGTACTTCTGAGCTCAACCTGCTATTGGCCCCTGACCAATATCTGCAGATAAAACTCAGCTTTATAAATATTCTACATTCAACTTCCCATGTTGCTAATCAGTCATTTCACACAAGTCATACGCTCTTTCGGACAGGCTGTTTTGACCTCACTGTTCAAAAGGATTTTGACATTTCTACAAAAAAAATACAAGTATCCTTCATAAACCCATTGACCCCCACTAACTTTTGAATCCAAGATTCTAAATGATGATATTTTAAAATCTTCATCACATTAGCACTGTCCTCTTGACACCTCACTAGGAACGATTATTCTTCTCACATTAGAATTATAATTAGCTTTATTGTCACGTACTCACATGGGTCGAGTGGAAAGTTTACAAGTCGCCACTTAGGGCAACATCTTAGGTACATTGGCATTGAAAAGCATATCAATCATGATCAGATGGTGGAGCTGAGCCAACGAACCAAAAGACCTAATTCTGTTCCAATATCTTAGTCTTATTGATGCTCCTCAGCCAATAGTTCACAGTCCATTATGGACAGTGCAACAAAGATGACGAGTTTTAATTGATAAAAGGAAGAAGCTTACCTTAGCCTTGGTGACCTCACTGTCCATTGGGTGATTAGCTTTAAAGATCTTCTGTGCTTCCTGCTGGGGACTGGTGAGAAAGCGGAAAAGAACAAGGTACCATTAATAACACAGTGGCAGTGATGTTGAAAGTTCATGCAGATCATGAGAATATTTTACAATCATGTCAGACATTTCCACTGCCTGAAAATGTTATCGATATCAAACCTCCCCAGTGCCTGAGCCTCCATCAGACAGGGTCATCACTACCCTGTGTGCTTCCCAGAACTCCAGACTCTGTTCTCTGTGTACCTGCTGAGCTGCTTCCAACGCTGGAAGAAGTCTTCAGATGCCATCTCTGTTGGTTGGAAAAACTTGTTGACAGTTATGGGTAGCTTTAGGGTGATATTCTGCATGGTTCCACCATATCTACCAACCAAGGAAGAGACAGACAGAGAGGATTTTAAAAATAAAATTTTGATAGATATTTTAAAAATGCATTAGATTTAGGGAGTTTGATTCTTCTTTCCATTTGTGTTATTAATAGCAAGCAGAGGAAGTTATGCTACAAATTTTTGGAAGAAAGAGTGGGTAAAGGTTACAAAGTATGAATCAATAAATTGCAGCTATTAAAAGTTGAATGCGTGCGAGACAGAGAGCATGCGAGAAGCTGTAAAGGAATGTTGGAAAAGATGGTTTCAGATGAAGTCAGCTATCACAAAGTAAAGTCCGTACCTGAACTGAATGTTCAGCAAGGGGGCTTCAGTGAAATCTGACAAACATTCAATGTTAATCACTTGCTGAACTTGTGCTCCACCTTCTACAATCGGCTCTACTGGCTTGGCCTGAATATTCAGCTGTGGCAACAGGGTTAAAGAATTTAATGAGCTATCTATTGCACAACACCACCTTTTGTCTCCTCAATGTCTCTTCTTTCCCACATTCTCAGTGATTAGCACTGCTGCCTCACAGCGCCAGGGACCCTGGTTCGATTCCAGCCTCAGGCGACTGCCTGTGTGGAGTTTGCACATTCTCCCCGCATCTGTGCGAGTTTCTTCCAGGTGCTCCAGTTTCCTCCCACAGTCCAAAGGTGTGCAGGTCAGGGTGGATTGGCCATGCTAAGATTGCCCATAGTATCTAGGATGGGGAATGCAGGGATAGGGTAAGGTGCGAGTCTGGGTGGAATGCTCTTCGGAAGGGCGGTGTGGACTCAATGGGCTGAATGGCCTACTTCTACACTGTAGGGATTCTACGATATGCACCTCACTTCTGTAGACTTCCATGGACAGCAACTGCCTTCCAGCGCCTTGACAAATTTCTAATTTTTGCAGTCCGATACAGACAATGTATTTCAATTGACTATTCTGTTTTTTATACATATGCACACAAGGACTACATAACCAGTCCGAGTCCAGAAACTTGAACACACGATCTGGGCTGACGCTCCAATGTTGGGCCAATGGAACACATCATGGTTGGAAACAGAAAAAAATGCTAGAAATCACAGCGGGTCAGGCAGCATCCATGAAGAGAGAGCAAGCTAACGTTGAGTCTAGATGACTCCAGACTTGAACCGTGAGCTTGATCTTTCTCTCCACAGATGCTGCCTGGCCTGCTGCTGTGATTTCCGGCCTTTTTTTGCTTTCAGTACAGATTCCAGCATCTGCAGGAAATTGCTGCTACATCACTGTTGGAGGTGCCATTAAAAAGACACACTTCACACTGTTGTGAAGCTTACCCACAAGTGGAGCTCTCCTTGGTCCTTGCTACTACTTATCCCTCAACAACACTGCCAAAACACAACCTAGTCATTGTTGCTTGTGGAAACTGACTGCCACATTTCCTCATTATAACATTAGCTACTCAAAAGCAAGATGCTCATGGCTCATTCCACCTACATTGCTTGTTGCCTGACTTGCAAACATAGAACCCAGTATTTTCATTAAAGTTATTGCTACCTCCATGGAGATAATCCTGGGTCTAATACAGAACACAACTGGACTTAGCAGCTGCAGAAAGGCTGCCAACATCATTAAAGTCCCATCCCACCCCGGTAATGCTCTCCTACAACCTCTTCTGTCAGGCAGAAGATACAGAAGTTTGAACATGCACCAGCAGGTTCAGGACCAGCTTCCTCCCAGCTGTTATTAGAGTGATGATTGGACTCCAACTTCAAATAATTCTGATCTTGCTAATGTTGGTCTTGCCTAGCGCACGTCCTGTGTGATGTAACCTGTATGCCTCTGTCCAAGTTTTTTTTTCACCCTATGATCTGTATGTTCTTGCTTACTATGATCTGCCTGTACTGCTCGTAAAACAAAACTTCTTACTGTACTTAGGTACACATGATAATAAATCAAATCAAATCATCACTGCAAAATCTCACTGAACATGTGCTGCATTTTTGTAGGCATCATCCTTCAGATAAGGTCCTGCTAGCCTGTTTGTGCCCTTGACTGAATGATTCGGCGAGGCAAGACATTTAACTCATTGTATCTACGAAGGTGCCACCAATTAGACCCACTGGTATTTCCTATACTCCAATTTTCTTCTTTCCAAGGTTTTTATCCAATTCCGTTTTGAAAGTTACTATTGAAATTTCATCCATCATGCTTTCAAGAAGCATCTTCTAGACCATAACTCCATGGATAAACAAAAAATCTTGTGTCTCAACTGCTTCTTTTGCCAATTAGACTGTTTTCAAAAGAAATCTCATGAAATGTGGACATCAAAATACTGGCTTATTGAGATTGTAATAATGAGCCATCTTCTTAAAGCATGCAATCCATGAAGGGGTAGGTACACCCACAGAGCTGTTAGGAAGGGAGCTTCAGTATTTCTTTTACCCAGCAACAGTGAAGGAACAGAGAGATTAAGAGATAGTAGGAACTGCAGATGCTGGAGAATCTGAGATAACAACGTGTAGAGCTGGATGAACACAGCAGGCCAAACAGCATCAGAGGAGCAGGAAAGCTGATGTTTTGGGCCTAGACCGTTCGTCAGAAAAAAGTGAGATTTTTAAGCCAGGATGGTGTGTGGCTTGGAGTCGAACTGGTAGGTGTTCCCAAATATCTGCTGCCCGTCCTTGTAAATGTTAGCAGTTGCAGGCTTGGAAAAAGTGATGTTGAAGGAGCCTTGGCGAGTTTTTTTAACTAACTATTCCATCAGGGAAAACAGTTTCTCTCTGCTTAGTCTATATACGCCATCATAATGTTGAACATTTGCATTAAATCTTTCAAACCTTCTCAGAAAGGAGAACAATCCAGCTTTGCCGCTTAACATATGATGAAGAAATCTGAACAGACAATTTTGCCCCAAGGTGTTTTGTTTTTTAAAAAAAAAATTGGTGCTTGAGTAATGGCCCTTCTAGAAGCCTTCATCGCATCCCATAATGAAGAGGAAAGCACATCCCTATTAAATTCCGATCCATGCCAACAGAAAGCAAAAGGATATCATTTTGCAGCTCTCCAGGGCAGCTAACATTCAATGTGAAGTTCAGGAACTGGACAGAAGTCTTGTTCCCAAAGAACAGGTACATTCGACCTAGACATGGAGACACAAGATAAATAAATCAGCTCTCTCACTGACCAAGTCTTTGGCGAGGTCAGCCAAAACAGACAGCTTAGAGATTAAAACATTGTTTACTGGAAAAATCTAATCTTCTAAATGGAAACAATATGCTAGCAATCAAAGCGAGACTGGGAAGGTGCCAAGTTAGCTCTCAAATTACAGAATTGGTCTTTGGACACCTCAGAGAGATGCACCCCAAGTCAGAGGTTGGTGTAAGCGTTCATATCTGGCTTCCCACTCCCCAACTATCAACCAAGGAGTCTTGTTGGAAAATGCATACACATGATTGAGGTCAGGATTTGCTCTGAACTTTTTTTTCCTTTATTCATTCATGGGATGAGGGTGTCACTAGCTAGGCTAGCCAGAGGGCAGTTAAGACTCAACCACATTGCTGTGGGTCTGGAGTCACATGTAAGCCCAACCAGGTGAGGATGACAGTTTCCTTCCCCAAAGGACATTAGTGAACCAGATGGGTTTTTCCCCAACAATCGACAATGGATTCATGGTCATCATCAGACTCTTAATTCCAGATATTTATTGAATTCAAATTCCACCATCTGCCATGGCGGGATTCGAACCTAGGTCCCCAGAACTTTATCTGGGTCGCTGGATTAACAGTCCAGCGATACCACTAGGCCATCACCTCCCCTATGCGATGTCTTCAGTGGCAAATAGACTCAATCATACAGCATGGAAACAGACCCTTTGGTCTAACCAGTCCATGTCGACCATAATCCCAAACTGAACTAGTCTCACCTGTCTGCTTTTGCCCCATATTCTTCCAAACATTTCTTATTCATGTACTTAACTAAATGTAATTCAAATGTTTTGAACTGTATCAACATCCACTACTTCCTCTGGAAGTTCATTCCACACATGAACAACTAAAAAAAAACAAAATTGTCCCTCATGTCTTGTTTAAAACTTTCTCCTCTCACCTTAAAAACGTGCTCTTAGTCTTGAAATCACCCACCCTAGGAAAGACACCTGCCATTCACCTTATCTATACCCCACATGATTTTATAAACCTCAACACTCCAGTGAAAAAATCCCAGCCTCTCCTCATATATCAAACCCTCCATTCCCAGCAAAACCCTGGTAAATCTTTTCTGAACCGTCTTCAGCTTAATAATATCATTCCTGTAACAGGGCAATCAGAACTACACACAGTACTCCAGAAGGGGCCTCACCAACATCCTGTACAACCTCAACATGACGCCCCAATTCCTACACTCAAAGATTTGAGCAATGAAGGCAAGATGAGTCAGATGTGAACTCTCAATCCAGTCTTGTGCGCACAGGGCTGATGCTGCAAAGAGCCAGCACACTCGAGCAGAAGTGCTGGGGGGTAAGGAACAACACCAAGCTCAAAATTTCAAATAAAACAAAAAAAAGAAAGAAAGAGACAGTAAAGAATTTTGCCCAAATTATGAGCGTGGGTCCTGAAACCCAATTTAACCTGACTGAAGCCTGCAAATCTGAAGAGAAAAAGTGAAAAAACCCCACGAGCCACTTACCCAGATTCTGTCTGTATTCTGACTTTATTCCAATCTGCAAAAGCTGGTTTTCGAACAGGACTCCGTTGTTTTTGCAGACAAACCTACATTTTAGAGAATAAAGGGGCAGACAGAGCATGTGAAAAAAACAGCATCAGCTGACACTGAAAAGCATTGTTTATACCTACAACCAAGACAACACGCATGGGGAGAACAGTAGCTATTGAAAGACTTGACCCAGACCAGTGCTGTCACTTGCACTTTACCATCAACACATTGTTAACACAGACTTTCCATCGACTTATCCTCTCAAGCTGCTCCCATGAGTTGTGAATCTTAGACCAACAGCACTCCACCTCTGCAGCTGAAAATGCTCTCTTCAGATGCACATCAAGCTGGGAAGGATAGAAGCTATAGTTGTACAGCTGGGTGATTTACACAGACCAAGAGGATAAAGTGTGTTCAGTGCAGATTCTGCACTGCAGGCTCAATCTCATTAGTACTCATACTATTTTTTTTCTCATAAATAATGTGGGAGTTAAACATCCAAAAGAAAAACAGCCATCGTTCTTACATGTCTACTTCAATCTGTGAACTTTTACAGGAGGACATTAGGCAAAGGTTTGGAACATCTCACAGCCTCAACACCAACTGCTTGCCATAAATCAAGGCCCTTCCTCCTCCTCCCAACACCACACCCCCTCCCAAAAATAAACTAATATACACTTGCCAATTCTCCAAACATACTTATACTTCACTGAGCTTAAGTCAGAACGTGCAATCCTGAAAACATTTAGACAATTGCTCCACGGTCAGTGATCCAGTCACAGCATCAGCAGTTCCCACACAGGAAAGCAGCCATTCCCTCCTTGTCACTACACAGACAACTGAAATCCCTTCTCTCTGTCGTCAATGTCAGTCTTCAAGCTTTTCCTCAGATGCTGTGGTTGACTTTGGTTCAACAACCAATGTTCCATATTCTTACAAATGTTAACCATTTTGACTTCCTCCTGTATATATACCTGGTACAAATCCTAAATTTAAACCATGAGACAGAGTTGCTGTTTGCAGAGAGACTAGGAAACAAGTGGCTGCCCTCATACAGAACTAATTGAAGCTACCAGCCTGAAGCCACACCATTTGAACCAACTTATCTGTCAGTAGCATCAATTTACTAACCTGTACAAATAACCTTTTATCTTTTTGGAAATTCACAAGCATAATCAATGAGCATATCCAGTGGGTCCCCCCCTCTACTCCACCGAATACAGCCTTGGAGTTTTCAAATCGCTGATCCCTCTCCTTTATAAATGAATCCATGCTGTTAATAATCACCAATACACCCCCTACCAATATACTTATGGCTTACTGTACACTTAAGGCAGAAAATGGGAGAAAATAGAGCTGGTGAAATTAGAATCATAGAATCCCTGCAGTGTGGAAACAGGCCCTTTGGCCCAACAAATTCACACCAACCCTCAACACATCCTACCCAGACCCATTCCCCCATAACCCACCTAATCTACACATTCCTGAACATTATGGGCAATTTAATATGGCCAATCCATCTTGCCTGCACATCTTTGGACTGTGGGAGGAAACTGGAGCACCCGGAGGAAACCTATGCAGACACGGGGAGAATGTGCAAACTCCACACAGTCAGTCACCCAAGGGTGGAATCGAACTCGGGTTCTTGGCGCTGTGGGGCAGCAGTATCACTGAGCCACCGTGCCGCCCCGTTCTAGAACTTGGAAGCCCAACATCATTTAAGAATTCCAAATCAGACACTAAAGTGACTAAATCTTTATGGCTTTTGTCAGATGAGAGCTGCACCATCACCAATAACCAGCAGGTGGTAGCGATGTGCCCTACAATAGACTTGAATGAGTAGACGAGACAAGTTGTATACAGATGTGTCATGGGGTTCCCAACTTCCTACTCCTGTTGCCAAGAGGCTTCACTGCCATACAAACTACCCAAAAGAACACAGGGTGAAAGCCAGGTGACAGTCAACTTAACATCCCATCTCCACTTAGCGGGCCTGGTTAATATCATATAGTCCCCTGCTCGTTAAAGCCAAGTACTGAAGTCTCACACAAGAGTGGGAGCTTTCAGTGAGCCCTAACACCAGGCCCAGGTTAAACTTCAGAGATTTGATTTACCGATATTGAAAAGGAGCTGAGACACAATTATGGGACTGTGCAGAACAGAGGGAAGCTGCATTGGCCCATCAGACCAATTCAGAGGAACAAGAGGAGGCCAATCAGCCTCTCGAGCTAGTTCCTCCATTCAAATGAATCTGGCTGATCTGCATCTTAACTCCAGCTCTGCAATGTGGTTCGTGGCCCATAATACCCTTGCCTAACAAAAATTCCAACAACTTGTGTTTGTAAGTTTTTAAATTGATCCCCAGCTTTATGGGAAAGAGAGAGAGTTCCACATTTCCATTTCCTAGCTTTAATGTCAACAATAACCACAATGTTCTGCACTTCATCCCAAGGAAACAAGTTCTCTCCCCCTCTTCCTGCTTCAACTACTTTCAGCATCTAATCGCAATCAGATCATCCCCTGAACATTACACAGGGAACACAAGTCTATCCCTTGAAAATTAATTCTTTTAGCCTCCAGTATCATTCTCATATATCCTTCTCGCCCAGTGAAGTAAACAGAGCTCCAAATACGCTCAGGGTTAAAAGAGTTGGAGCACTTAGTCCTGCTGAGTGCTCTCCCATGGAGAAGGTCTCACATTCAGTCCTGTATTTCTGAAATGTCAAGACATGCTGCTGGACTGAAACAGAAAACCACATTTCTGACCAATTGGACCATAACGATGTACACGAAAACTAGATAGCAACCACCTGGCAGAGATCCTGGGTGCTGAGCTGCATTGACTACAATGGACGGTGAAGGGGCTGCTCTTAAAAAATAATCTATAAAATATCTTTTAAAAGGCAATTCTATGTCCAACATCATTAAAAAAAAAGGTTGAAGTGGACAGAAAGTGAATTAACCTCCTTACTTGTTGAGGAGATCATCAGCATCAGGTACAGGCAAAGCAGGATCCTCAGAGCCAGCAGCAGGCACAGTCGTAACAGTGCTGAGGGATGGAAACAGAGACAGCGAGACACACACACACACACACAGAGACCGCAAGAGAGACAGACAGCGGGGGGGAGAGAGAGAGAGAGAGAGAGAGAGAGACAGACAGCGACAGACACAGAGAGAGAGAGAGAGAGAGAAAGAAAAAGAAAGCGAGACAGCAACAGCAAGAGAGAGAGAGACAGACAGCGACAGACAGACAGAGACAGAGACAGACACAGAACAGAAATAAATAAACAAATAAAATCAAAAGTAAAAGAAAAAAGGGAAAAATGCAGGGAATAGGAGAAAGAGAAAATGGATTAGAAGGTTGAAGAACAATAGAGGAAAAAGATAGCATTCAGCACAGTTGTTACCAATGCCATTTAGTGACCAAAACTCAAAGCTGCATTGAAGTGTTAACATGAGCCTGAATTGTTAATCTTACAGGAAGGAGGTTGCATGCACCTCAAACCCAAGGGGGGTAAAAATAGGTAACACATGCTTGATCATGTTTAATTACATGACTGATGTACAAATTTACACACACACACACAGGTCTCTTAGTCAAGCTGAACATTGTCTATGCTGAATGCATACAATTTTTACACACACGCGAAAACACGGTATTCCAGCATAAGTCTCCATTTGAATTTTCTCTCCATAGCCTCAACTAAAATGAAGGCATAATTTAGGCCACCCTGGCTTCCTTCCTCGATATCAACTCCTGAATGATATGTTGTGATACAGCTACGTTGATCTAGCAACCAGTTTGTTTTTACAAGCCTAGATATTAAGCCTTACAAAAAAAATTATTTAAATGTTCAGCCAGGCTGATGTTCTAGCCCCTACAAGACCAGTTGGGTATCAGCTTTGATCGATTTTCTTTGTAGAGTTAGCAGATTGCAGGGCTCCACAAGTGTCTTTCAAGAATCGAAGAACAGGACACACAACTCCATGGCATGCCTGACTAAAACAGGCATGCTTTCACAGATGCATACAAGATATTTTTACTATCACAGTTGCTGAAGAAAAGTGATGTCCGCAGGTTCATCTCCAGTTTGCAGATAGCAAGTCTTTGTGCTTCACGTTGCCAATAGGGAGCCAACGAACAAACTGGGATTATCTCCTCACATTTACTCAATAGAAACCTACTCTATTAATCTGAGTTTTTGGCCCACACAGTCTCATGGCTCACCAGTATCTCTTACACTGCAACAGTCCTATTGGGTCCTAACAATACATCTAGGGGCAGTGGCTGCTGACATTTTACAAGATTCACTAAGGACGGAAACTCAGTTAACCTTAGTGAATCAACAAGTTTGCATTTATATAGCATCTTTCATGTAGTAAAACATTTCAAAGCTTCACAGGAGTGTTATCCAACTAAAAACACATGGAACAATTTGAGCTACTAGGGCAAAGGACCAAAAAAGATGCAAATTTCAAAGCTTCTTAAAAGGAGAAGGAATGAGGGGTTTGAGGAGGAACTTCCATAGTTTAGGCCCAAGCAGCTGAAGGAACAACCACTAACGGTGGACTGATGGACATCAGGTTTGTGCAGGAGGAATCAAAAAGGATGCAGCACAGAAGGAAACCATTCAGCCCATCGTGTCTGTGCCAGCTTTGGTTCTTTTGCCAATCACTTTACACCTGTCTCCTTTGGTTCTTGACCCATCTGCCAATGGGAATAATTTCTGTCCAAATGCCTCATGATTTTGAAAAACTTGATCAAATCTGCTCTCAATCTTCTCTCATCACTTCTGCCCACAGCGGAGCTACCTCCCCATTTATGGAAAGCTTGAGGAAAATTATTTTTAAAAAAATTTAAACATAGTTTTGTGCTCATGTCTCAGGAAAAAGAATTCAGAATGGATTCCAGGTCCTTTGTTCTGGCTCACCTATCCCAAAAAACTCTCCAACAGACCCTAGCATTATCAGAACAGGTGCTGGTTACAAGAATATCCTGGTTTTGCCAAATGTGTACACTCCACTCAGCGACCGACCACAGAACAAAGCTGCCTACTTGGTGCACAGGGGTCTTGGGTTGCATAGCTGGAGGTAATTATAAAAGAGATAGGAAGGGTGAGGCCTTGGATCAGGAAAGTTTGCTCTTTATTATCAACAGTGGCTGAGAGAGGCTAGTGTTTTTCTGAGCCAGTGTCTATAACTCCACAAAGGAGCGACATTTAAACAGCTTAGTTCATGGCCCATCACTTTACAAAATGGAATGTGGGTGACGAGGGAAGGAAGCAATTGTACGTCTCCCACTCCATTCAAGACAGTGAAAAAACATAATTCTCCCTCGCTCAGCATCCAGCAAGAGCAAATTCCCAACTTCAACATGTTCATTTTTATTCACAGTGCACTTTCCAGTGACTTGTAGCCAAGCGTCCCACCAACTGAGTTAACAATCTACCAAATGCCCAAGCTGAAGACCACAGCATGTTACCAGATTCCCAGTCAAGGGAAGAAGCTTGTGGTGTCCTTTCACTCACGTCACAGACATTGTTCTGTGGCAAAAGAACTCCCAAACCAATCATCTAACCACAACAATTAAATCTCCCTACCCCTCAGCTATGTAACCTGTCAGACTGGGAGAAGGGAGTAGGAGCTAAAATGTCCAGGGTGTCTAATCACCTACAACTAACTCCAAGCAAAAATATACCTTGCCTTAATCCACACGATAAGGAATTTATTTCTCCCATCAGCTTCTACTGGTGGATTTGTTTTTAAAGTGGAATGGGAATGGAAAAGACCAGGAATAATCGTAGTTGAGGAATATAACCATTTCTGCGTCACATACCCCCAGGCTAGTCAAAAAAACTTTGAAAGTGTTGAAATCCAATCAGAATTTTCCCAGTCTTCCATGAATATCAGTCAGTGGCTCCCCTGACTGATACTGACACCTCACTGGTTTACACTGAAGAAAACAAAATGTCTTCGAGATTTGGGAAAGTGATCACATTCTGCAATTCCATCTCACAAAACCCAATGAGTGTCATGAGGTTTCCGTCACCTCTGTCCAAAGCACAAGTAATACAAAAGCATGAGTGCCCAAGGATCAACTGCACAGTCTGCACTCTTCTCAGCCACAGCATTGGTAGGGATCCTTTACTGAAGCTTGACTCAAACCAGGTTGTCCAGGATTTCTACTCCTGATCGATACAGGGAAGTGAGACCATCAGCAAGGAGGAAGAGGACAGGACCACGGTTGGCTCCAATTCTCTTTAAGAAGTAGCCCATTAGCATTTGCTAATTAGAAATAATGGCCTTTCGTCACTCAGTGACCAGAATGTGTGAATGAGCGGTCAAGTACAAACATCAGGCCCTTCAGAACAGAAAAACAGAATAAGGAGAAAAATGTGATAATTATGAAGCAAGGTGTCACGATGACAAAGTAGTGATTAGTGATACCATGATGTCAGAAGATTCCTTGCGCATAGCAGGAAACGAGGGAGAGGGGGAGCGAGAGCAAAAGAGAAAATGAACGGCGAGGAAGTTAAATGCCAAGTTTTCTCAAAGCCTGTTTTCACATTTCAGGGGTCAAGAGTCCTCTGCAAGAGAGTTATGAGCATGAAAGCAAAGTGGAGGAAAGTGGGGGAAGAGTCTTGAAGGAAGGGGCTGGGATGACCCTGTTAAGAGCTACACCATGAAAGAAATAAAAATTATTCTATAAAATGTGTGCTATGCATCAACCTTCACACTAAGAAAAAAGCAATTACACAGTCCAAATTAGATAAAGACAGTTCTGACAGACCACAATCACTAATTTAAAAGGTGATAATTCAATGAGAAAATGGAGATGGTCATCAATGGACAGGACAAGGGATTTTGGTTTGCCTTGAGCAAATTCTGTTCAATTTTACACTTACTGCAATGGGAATTTTGAATCAGACGCATAAAAAATGCCGGCTTCTGGCAGACAAAATCACTTGTCCTAAACAGCTTCATTTTCATCAGAAAAAAGAAAAACACCACCAACTACTGAACTGAAATTAGAAAACTTGCAAAAAGAAAATCACCAAACGGTGCACTCCATGCTTTTAAATCATAAATGATTACAACTCCATGCAGAGCTGCAGACAGCTTGGCATTTGAGTCACCTCAAACCTCGAAGCAGATTGAAAGCGATAAGAACATGTGACAAGACAGTCATTCCAGAGGTGATTTGCACACGTGCACATACCAACGTACTACCACATCAACTCTGCAAATCCAGCATAACCCTGTTATTTCACATGAAATATATACTGCATTACATAGAGACCAATGGATTGAAGTCTTGCTTCATACTAGCAAAAAGACATTTTGAACAAATCAGATTTTAATTTATATGCAGGATGTGGGCATTTATCATCTGCCCTAGTTACAACAGAGCCTTGCTTGGCAACTTCAGAGGGCACTTGCTACTTTGCATGGGTATGGACTCACACACAGGCCAAGACCAGGCAAGGGTGGTAAATTTCCTTCCCTCAAAGTAAATCGAATGGTGAATAATTTAGACTTTTAGTTGCATCCACCAATCAGATCATGGCTGCATTACATATCACTAACATTCAGAACATAACAATGTTCCTTTAATACTCCTCTGTCAGCCAGCTTAAAAAAAAAATGTTGAACTGATGCTTAGAAAATATATATTGATATGACAGGCAGGCAATTGAAATGTTTTAATTAAAAGTATTTAACAGTTACAATGGTTGTCTCCTGTCTAGACACTTCCAACACTGCAGCTAAAGTGAAGTGCAGGAGTATGTCTATGTGCTGTATATATTTGGAGTAAAAACAACTTTTTTTTTGGACCCTGGACTGTTTTGGAGCTGGGGATGAATGGGGATTTCGACAGTCCAGCTCCACTCAGTAATACACTGCTTACTCTGCACCCAGGGTTGCGTCCACCAGCAACGATGCAGGGCTCTCACCCGGCAGATCCAAGCTTCTGCACAATCCCAAATCACAGGCAAGCGTGCAGAGGAACAGAAAAAAAAAGAGGAGAAACTGAATCACAAAGCAACCACCATACAAACTACTCAAAGATCAAGTCACAAGATTTTTGCCTTCAAACATTATTTCACATCAGTTTAGATAAAGCAAATTGTGCAGTGAGGAACATTACTCTCGCATGTCACGAGTACTCAGCATTATGTACTCCTGGTGCCACACAATAGATTAGTGAGTGCAACTCCTGCCCACACTACCACATCAAGCACTCCTGATGCACATGCTTGCACATTTTAGGTACAGCATAGTTCCCTCGACAATTCAGCAACAGGATTGCCCTGTACCACAGCAAGAGACATTTTTCCTGCTCCAATTAGTATGTGGCCTATTTGGATAAGATTGTTAGTTTGTGTCGTCAGGGCCTGTAGGCTTTCTCTGACCTGACTCAAGACCAATCAAACTCATTTGTTTTATTATCAACAGGAGACAACACCTAACACATTTGGCCCAGACTAGAACTGTACTTGGGTCCCAGGGTTGAGCAAGTCCTATTATCCCTGCCAGGGGTCAGACTTGAATACTAAAATACAGGCTCCTTTATTAGACTTGGTGTTACCTATGTATTTTGCTCCATGCGGCAGGTTAGTTATTGGTTAATCTTCTAATGAGGGGCAAATGGAGAGGCCAAAGACCATTCTTGGCTCTAGCAAAAAGTTCAAATCAAACTCAAGACTGCTAGCATGAAATAAAAGCAGAAAATGCTGAAAATGTTCAGCAGCATTCTGGTAGCACCTGCGGGGGGCAAGAACCAGGGTTAATAGGTTCTTATGAAAGATCACCAAACCGAAATGTTAACTCAGGATTAGGCCATTCAGCCCTTCAAAACTGTTCTGACATTCTGTGTGATCGCGTACAATCTGGTTGTGGTCTCAGACCCACCTTCCTGTCTGCCGTCTTCCCTCCAGAGCCCTTGACTCCCACATCTATCAAGATTCCAACTCTACCTTGAATAAATTCAGTGACTGAGCTTCTACTGGTTTTGGCAGAACAGAATTCCACACACTAACAGGAAAAATTTGTTTTCATCTCAATATCAAAAAGGGATACCTCTTAGGTCATGAAATATAGGAGCAGAAATAGACCATTTGAGTCTGCTCTGGAATTTAATGAGAGATTGTGGTTGATCTAATAATCCTCAACTCCACTTTCCTGCCTTTTCCCCATAACCATCAATTCCCTTACTGATTAAAAATCTGTCTATCTCAGCCTTGACAGTCCTCCGCGATAAAGAATTCCACAAATTGATCCTCAGAAAAAATTCCTCATCTGTCTTAAATGGCCAATGCCTTTACTCTGAGATTACACTCTCTGGTCCCAGACTTGCCCATAAGGGGAAATAACCTCTCCATTACTACCCTGTCAAATCCCCTGAGAACTTTAAATAAGACATTAAAACTGTATACCCCAGTTCTAGTCTTCCCCATACGAGGAAACATCTCCCAATCCCTATATTCACCATCTTTTTCTTTCCCTACAGATGCTGAGTACTTCAGCATTTTGGATTTTAATTTCAGGTTTACCATGGTCTGCAGAACCTTGCTTCTGTTCTCATGAATTCTGCTTAAGACTGCTATAAGGGTTCAAAGTGAAATAGATTTGGGGTAGCTAAATTTCACTTCAAATTTCTGCTGCTGAATTTTAAGTGTCTGCCATCTCTTTAAGAGAATTTCTATTTTGTACATGACCTTTGAAAACTCTAAGCAAGAGTGGATAAAAAGAGGAGAACCTTGTTGTGGAGAGATAGGAGGAACTGCAGATGCTGGAGAATCTGAGATAACAAGGTGTAGAGCTGGATGAACACAGCAGGCCAAGCAGCATCAGA